GATTAGCGAAGAGGGCAGAGGGCAAGAGTGAGCCCAGATTAGACGTCGTCCCCGACTCAAGTTCTCTCATGCAAGCGGGAGCAGATGCTTTCTGCAGGAAGCGGGGCTCGCTGGGGGGTGGGCAGAGCACTCGGGACTCGCAGGACACCCCTCCCCGGAAAAACAACAACAAAAAAACATCTGCACAGCCCTGAACTGCTCACCTATACAGCTGAGACACTGTAAATCCATGGTCAAGCTCATCTAATGGGAAAACCCCCATATAAAGCACTTTTTTTTTTTTGAGACAGAGTCTCACTCTGTTGTCCAGGCTAGAGTGCCCTGGCGTCAGCCTCACTCACAGCAACCTCAGACTCCTGGGCTCAAGCGATCCTCTTGCCTCAGCCTCCCCAGTAGCTGGCACTACAGGCATGCGCCACCACACCCGGCTAATTTTTTTCTCTATATATATTAGTTGGACAATTCATTTATTTCTATTTTTAGTAGAGATGGGGTGGGGTCTCGCTCTTGCTCAGGCTGGTCTCGAACTCCTGACCTTGAGCGATCCTCCCTCCTCGGCCTCCCAGAGTGCCGGGATGACAGGCGAGAGCCGCCACGCCCGGCCTCCGGAATAAAGCATTTACCTATCACAGGTGAGGATAGCAAAGGCCGACTCTGCTCCAGGCACTGCACCAAGCGCTGGCTCACCGAGTCCGCTCCACATGCCCAGGGGCTGGGGGCCCCATTTTTCAGATGCGGAGGTTAAGGCGCAGCGGGGTTAAGTAACTCCCCTGAATCCACAGGGTTCTGGAGAGCTGGTGCCGGGGTCCGAAGCCAGGGGGTCAGGCGCTCTGTGCTCCGCCAGTCTGTTGCACCCTTCCTCCCTTCCTTTTTTAGAGCAATAGAAAAATCACCTGCCAGCAGCAAAAATAACTGGAGGAGTGAGCCAGGGGCAGGAGGCGGGGGCGGTTTTGGGAGCTGAGCTTCCGAGCGGGCGGCGGAGACAGGGGAGTTGGGCGACGCTTATTCCGTGAGGACAGCTCGTCCAGACGGGCCGGACATGCACCTCCCTCTCACGCACGCCCGGCCCATCGCAGCGGCCGGAGCACAGAGACACACTGTTGCTTTCGGAGCCCGGAACGTTCTGTTTGTGCCCTCCTGGGCACCGAGAAACGTGCCTGGGGTTCCCCGGAGCCGAAGGGTGACCGAGGGGGACAGCAGGAACCTGCTGGAAACTGCTCCACCGTGAGAGAGAGACAGCTTATTTATTTGCAGCAAATGTGGGTGTCTGAGGGTTGACGGCCTCTTACGAGCCTAAGATAAGCCCTAAAGCCGACGGTGCATAAGTGGGCAAAAGGCAGGAAGAGACGTGGGTCGGGGAAGGCCAAGTTGGGGCAATCTTTCGGGAAGGAAATCGGGCGATGCTTATGATGAGCTCCCCCACCCACAAAAGTCTACCTCTACTGGCCCAGTAATTTCCTAAGAAAAGGAGCCAGAGGTGCAAATGAAGGTTTAACCCTGAAAATGCTCACTCTAATACTTTTAAGTACACAAAAAAAAATTAGAGACAATTTAGATGCTCCAAAATAAGGTTGTTTAAATAAATTATGTTGCATCCATTTGATGGAACATTATGTGCCTATAAAACCGTGTTTTTCAAAGAATATTTAATGATGTGGGGAAATACCTTGTGCTACAAGGTTAGAGAACAAAAGCAGGACACGAAATTGTTTATACAAAATGATTTGAAGTTTGTGGGGGGAAAAAAAATTGGTGTGCACAGAAAAATGCTCGGAAGAAACGACACAAAAAGGCTATATCAGGGTGAGATGAAGGGAAATACAACCGTCGTCTTTGCGCGTTGCTGTGTTTGCTAATTATTCTTCAAGTGTGCACCAAGGGTTACTTTGTATCATAGAAACTCGACATTAATGTTTACGGGTTGCAACTAATTTTCCTAGCGGTGGCAACACATTTTAAGCGATGCTGCTCACATACCTGTGAATGTATGTATAGATTGTATTTATTCCTTCACTCAATTAGTCAATAAAGGTAAAGTGCTTAAAACAGCATGGCATGCAGTACGGATGAAATTTAGTTGTTAGGGATGAGTTGTCAGTTTCTTAATCCGTTCCATCAACGTTTCTTCATCTCCGTACGGTGCCAAGGACGGGGCTGGGTGCAGGGTCCGGTAATAAATCGTGTTTTGGGGGCTTCCCGCTTGGATGTTCCCAGCCCTGGGTGGAGAGGGGGGCTCCCACAGACAAAGGCACCCCCCCAAAAGAGCAGCTACAGCCACGGGAATAAATAGTCCTCCGTTCTGGACTCTCAGAGCCAGATAACGGGGTTGTTCAAGACGCATCGCAAACGCTCGCCCCAACGAGAACACTCGTTCCTGGTCAACCGGCGTGGTTGCGTACTTACCTTCCTGTACCCCGTTGGTGCCGGAACCCCGGCCTCCCCCCCCCCGGCCCGCCGACCCACCTAAGCACAGGCTGCAGAACCCCCTTGGGGATTCTGGAGTGTTCATGGGGGTCTGGGGTACCCCAGAACTGCAGGTGCAGATCCAGCCGGCCGGAGACTCTCCAGGAAAGCAAGTTCCCCGTGGGGACACCCTCCCACCTCCGCACCCTGCACCGCCTAATTCCACTTCGCCTCCCTTTGGATCCTGGCACCATCGACACGGATTTGACCCTCAGCACGTGCCCCTTTGCCTCAAGTCTTTCCTTTCTGGTCCCCCCAAATCCATGAGACTCTTAAGCCCTCTGGTGCAATCGAGATTTGAAGCAAAGTCTACACCGGGCGTCCTCAAACTACGGCCAGTGTGCCACACGGGGCCCGCCGAGGACATTTATCCGGCCCGCCCGGTGTTTTTGCCGCCGCTGCCTGTCCTGCTTAGCAGCCGACTCGTCCCGGGCCCACAGTGCGCATGTGTGGAATGTGCACAGCCGCACTCTCCCACGGTCTGAGGGACCGTGAGCTGGCCCCTTGTTTAAAAAGTTTGAGGACCCCCGTGTACACAATGGCGATTCTTCCCAGGCCTCCGGCTCACCACCCACCCTGAGCTCTGCGGTCTACACCCTGCGAGGCCCCTGGGAAGTCTCTCTGCTGGATCGATCTCTGTCATGGGGCTCTCAGATACCGGACAGAGAAGGGGACTTGCTTTTTCTGCCTTAACTTTGTCATTCCTGTTTGTCTTCCAGCCGCTAACCTTGTAGAGAGATGCTGCCTAGAATATGATAAAACCCCGCATCTACCCAGGTGAGCCCTGGAGGTGGTTCTCGTTGGTTCTGCTAGACCCAGGTAGACCAGGTTACGTCATCTATGAGCCTAAGGCCAGGTGTCACCTCTTCTGAAAAAGCCACTTTTTTCCCAGTGTTTGCTGCCTTTTGTTTCTAGAGGCAAATGAGAGCTTTACCTCTTCCCAAAGGTAAAATCAGGGCTGAGAATTGGAGCTTTGGACATCTTAAGGACGTCCCCTCTCCAAGCCCCACCAGCAGTTGCCTTTCATAACTCCATACTTTGCTGCAACATGTAGTCGTAACAGTCCCCCAAAGTTAGAACTGACTACCGCGTTTCCCCGAAAATAAGACCTGCCCATAGAAAAAGCCCCAGCAGGATGTCTAAGCGTTGTGCGCCATAGAAGCCCCACCCCGAAAATCAGCCCTAGTGACGGGCGTGGCTGCGCAGCGCGTCTGCACAACCCGTGCGTGTCGTCATGGCGGAGCGGGAAAGAAGACGGGCAGCCCTTCTCGTCTGCCCCGTCGTGACAGCTGCTGTCCCAGAGGTGACCGGAAAGGTGCGGGCAGCCCCGCCAGCAAGGTAGGCTCCCCCTGTCGGGTCCCGGCCGTCCTGTGCGTGCTGCGAGCTGAGGCTTGGAGGGGAAAAAAATAGCACATGCCCTGAGAATAAGCCCTAGGGTGTCTTCTTGAGGAAAAATAAATAGAAGACCCTGCCTTAATTTTCGGGGAAACAAGGTATGGCCCATTTAACTGACTTTTCTGCAGGCAAACAAAGCACAGGCCACATTCTGCCCCCAAAAGTCTACCAGCTTCATGCATTTTCCCAGGCACTGCAGAGCCCCGAGCTGATGCCCCTGCACCCACCCAGGGCAGTTCCTCAGCCTTGCAAGGAAGCATGCGTGTGTATCTGTGACCACGACAAGTAGCGCTCGGCACGTTGTCTTGGCCTTGGACTAACTCACACGACGGCACCCTGAAGACACCCAGGTTGGCCCTGCTTTAAAAGTAAGCCTGATGTGGGAACATTAGAATCATAAATACGTTACCATTCCCTTTTTTTTTTTTTTTTATTTTAGAACATGACCGTTCTTCATTTTGCAAAAGAGATGCCTTAAATAACCAGCTCTCCCAGTGCGGGAAATCAGATTCCATTTACAAAAATTTAATTTGCAAACATCTTTTTCTGGCACAGAGCTATTCTATAAGTAAGGCACACCTGTAACTTTAAGAGGATTTTGGCAAGTTCTTTGCTCATTCTCTGGAGGGAGCATGGGCTTTCCTCCTTTCCTTTTTCCTTTCCCCTTTCCTTTCCTTTCCTTTCCTTTCCTTTCCTTTCCTTTCCTTTCCTTTCCTTTCCTTTCCTTTCCTTTCCTTTCCTTTCCTTTCCCTTTCCTTTCCTTTCCTTTCCTTTCCTTTCCTTTCCTTTCCCCTCCTTTCCTTTCCCCTTCTCCTTCCCCTTCCCCTTCCCTTCCCTTCCCTTTCCCTTTCCCTTTCCCTTTCCCTTCCCTTCCCTTCCCTTTCCCTAGATAAAGTCTCACTCTGTCACCTGGGCTACAGTGCTGTGGTGTCAGCCTACCTCACAGCAACCTCCAACTCCTGGGCTCAAGCGATCCTCCTGCCTCAGCCTCCCGAGTCGCTGGGACTACAGGCATGTGCCACTATGCCCGGCTAATTTTTTCTATATATATATTTTTTAGTTGTCCAGCTAATTTCTTTCTATTTTTCAGTAGAGACTGGGTCTCACTCTTGCTCAGGCTGGTCTCGAACTCTCAACCTTGAGCCATCCTCCCGCCTCGGCCTCCCAGAGTGCTGGGATGACAGGCGTGAGCCACCGCGCCCGGGCCATGCTTTGCTTTTCCACCACGCGGTTCCAATCTTGTTTTTGAGCTCTCTGGTCCCTGGCCCAGGTGTTCCTTATTCATGTCAAGTGCTAAGTACATCAGGTCTCATTGTGTTGGCAGGTGACAGGAGACCCAAAGCAAACTGAATCACGTTAAGGGAAATTTATCTGCTTCCACACCAGAAGGGTGCAGGGTGGTGCTGGCTTCAGGCGTGGCTGGATCCAGCACTCAGACAGGGTGGCCAGGACCATTTCTCTGTCTCTGTCCTGACCTCAGTGCTGTTCACACTGCTCTCAGTCTCCTCTCGATGGTCCCCGAAAGCTGCCTGCTCTGATCTCCCCGTGTGGGGACGGACACTACAGTTCTCCGGCCGTTCAACCTCTCTGCTAGCACCTGTTAAAAAAAAAAATAAAATAAAATCCAAGATTTATTCTGATTGGACCAGCTTAGGTCACCTGCCTGTTTCTGAGCCAATCACAACGTCCAGAGGGACGAGATGATGCCCTGATTGGCTGAGGCGGGAGCCCCACCCAGAGGCACTCAGGGTCGGAAGGGGGAGGCAGGTGATTTGCTGGGGGGAGAAGGAGCATGTTCTGCCAGGACAGCAGCGTTAACTGTGCCGTGACTTCTGCCTTTAGTTGGAAAAGCCAGCAGAGAGGTACAGCGGTTACTTTTAAACTTCTTATTTAAGTTTGTGGGTCAGCAGTGCTGTGGGTCTGGGAGCAGTAGTTGGTGACAAAATAGCCAAGGAGGTCAGGCCGGGCGCGGCGGCTCACGCCTGTCATCCCAGCACTCTGGGAGGCCGAGGCGGGAAGGATCGCTCGAGGTCAGGAGTTAGAGACCAGCCTGAGCAAGATCGAGACCCCGTCTCTAGCAAAAATAGAAAGAAATGAGCTGGACAACTAAAAATATATAGAAAAAAAATAGCCGGGCATGGTGGCGGTGCATGCCTGTAGTCCCAGCTAGTCGGGAGGCTGAGGCAGGAGGATCACTTGAGCCCAGGAGTTGGAGGTTGCTGTGAGCGAGGCTGACATGGCCACGGCACTCACTCTAGCCTGGGCGACAGAGTAAGACTCTGTCTCAAAAAAAAAAAAAAAAAAAAAAAAAAAAAAGAAAAGAAAAGAAAAAGAAAAGAAGAAATAAGAACCAATGATAACAAGTATGATAATTATGCACCCAATTTTTGGTGAATCAGTGAGTGAGGGTGAAGGTCCCCAGGAAGGCTGCCCTGGCTCTGTCATGGAAGGAGGACCAGGACGCTTGTGAATACAGGGGCCGACTTCCCTCTTCCCCTGCCTCAGTTTCCCATCTGTAGAAAGATAACCTCCAACCGTCTGCAAAGCCCTTTGGACCACTCAGAGTCAGTGGTGATAGTGGCAGTGGGTTAAATTAAGGAATAAATGTTCGCAGAGCAAAGATTGTAAGGAGACCATCTACCTGACAGGGGTCCTCAAACTTTTTAAACAGGGGGGCCAGTCCGCTGTCCCTCAGACCATTGGAGGGCCGTTGGAGAGCGGGGCAATGCATGTTCCACACATGCGCACTGTGGGCCCGGGACCAGTCGGCTGCTAAGCAGGACAGGCAGTGGCGGCAAAAACACCCGGAGGGCCGGATGAATGTCCTCCTCGGGCCGTAGTTTGAGGACGCCTGGCACCGCCACGGAGTTGAAGGCCAATCGGTAACAAACACGGAAGGCTTGCAGAGGGCTCCGGTACTGCGTTGTTGGTTGTGGGTTTGCATTTGTATGATGCTCCTCTATGAATTTTTATTGTACGATCATTTGTGTCCGTTCGTTCATTCCCTTTGCAGCCCGGTTCTTCTAGGTTAGGGTCGTGAGTGGCCGAGACCTCTGCCGGCTGCCTGGGGCACAAGAGTGAGAACCCGTGCTGGACAGGAGCGGTCACGGGGCAGGGCGCACTCACCCCCACACCTCCACTCCCTCACACGGGACCCCTGTGGCATGCCAGGGCATCCAACGAGCCCCTCTTTGGGGGCGCGGAAGGAAGCCGGACTGTCCGGAGGAAACCCACACAGACGCGGGGAGAAAGCGCACGCTCCGTACAGATGGTGGGCCCGGCAACACCCACCGCTCTTGCCCACGGAGGCCCAGAACGAAATCGTAACATCGATTTTCTCATCAGTGTCATAACCAGACAAGGTTGAAGGAAAGGACGTCATTCGAGGACCTGCTGTACTACAGGGGAGGCAGACTTAGAAGGAGCGGAGGAGAGGGAAGGTTTTGAAAAGAAGAGCAACGCACACACAAAAATAAAATGAGTGCTGTTGTGACCGGAAGTGCCACGCCAAAGTAGGATGTTGGTGACATTTTGTGTGTGTGTGTGTGTGTGTGACAGAGTCTCACTCTGTTGCCCAGGCTAGAGTGAGTGCCGTGGCGTCAGCCTCGCTCACAGCAACCTCAGACTCCTGGGCTCAAGCGATCCTCCTGCCTCAGTCTCCCGAGTAGCTGGGACTACAGGCATGCGCCACCATGCCTGGCTAATTTTTTTCTCTATATATTTTTAGTTGGCCAATTAATTTCTTTCCAGTTTTTAGTAGAGACAGAATCTCGCTCTTGCTCAGGCTGGTCTCCAACTCCTGACCTCAAGTGATCCTCCTGCCTCGGCCTCCCACACTGCTGGGATTGCAGGTGTGAGATACCGCACCCTGCTGGAATTTGGTGACATTTTATGAATGGCTGTCACCTTTGAGAATCGAATGACAGAGGTCGGAGCAAACCCACAGGTGTGAGAAGCACTACCTTCAAAGTGGGCACATCGAGAGGTGGGACACTTATTGCAAGGTGCTGATAGGGCTCCAACACCATGGGGCGGCTCCTCCTGGCATTGCTTCCAGCTGCTCTCATGACCTTGACTTTTGACCCCAGCTACCACCCACCTAACCCAGCATCCCAGGGGCCAAATGACTTTCACCAGCTTCAAGAAATCGAATGTCTAGGCCAGGCGCGGTGGCTCACACCTGTCATCCCAGCACTCTGTGAGGCCGAGGCTGGTGGATCGCTCAAGGTCAGGAGTTCAAGACCAGCCTGAGCAAGAGCGAGACCCTGTCTCTACTAAAAACTGGAAAGAAATTAATTGGCCAACTAAAAATATATATAAAAAATTAGCTGGGCATGGTGGCGCATGCCTGTAGTTCCAGCTACTCGGGAGGCTGAGGCTGGGGCAGGAGGATCATTTGAGCCCAGGAGTTGGAGGTTGCTGTGAGCGAGGCTGACGCCACGGCACTCACTCTAGCCTGGGCAACAGAGTGAGACTCTGTCTCAAAAAAAAAAAAAAAATAATAATAAAAAAAGAAGAAATTGAAGGTCTGGAGCTACCTGGAAGATACAGGAGGAGCCAGCGAAGGGTGGGTCGGAGCATCTCAGGCGGGCAGTGGCTGCAGTTGGAGTCACCCATGGGGACTGGGAGCTCAGGGCTCCTGCACTTGGGAACCGGACTGGAGGCTGCCAATCCAGCCACAGGTGCAGCCCTGGCCGGGCCGGGCAGGAGCGGTGACAAATATTTCAGAGTTGGAGAAAGAGGAGACAGTTCTTGGCAGGGCCGAGCCAGGGGAGGACGCCAGGAAATCCTGAATGAGGCAAGAAGCATCCTCATCCAGAGAGCCAGGGATCGTGGAAGCAGCCACAGGACACACAGGGTGGGGTGGGGCAGGGGGACTGGAGGCGGGGGGACTCTGGGGAACTGTCCTGCTCTAGTGGGACTCGTGGAGTCTCTGAGTCTCAGCTTGGGGAGGACAACAGGGCCTCTGTTCCTTGGCCAGCACCCTCCGCCCCTGCGGGACCCGCACCCCGCAGCGCCCCAGCTCCGCGGGAAGGCGTCCCGGGGAATGCCAGAGCGCACCGGTGACGACAGGGGGCGCCGCGCCTCCCGTCCCCGCCGGGCAGCAGGGCTGGGTCCCTGGTGGGTGGGCAGCTGCCGCCTGCCTGCCAATCCCCCCGCTGGGCCATGCAATCTCGGAGGCCCTGGAGGCAGCGCCCCACCGGCCTGCCGAGGTGCCCAGGCTGCCGGGGGGCGCGGCCCTGCTGGGACGCACGGGGAGATCGGCGGGCACCTGGGACCTCCCAGCCTGGAAGGGACGTCCCCGGGCTGGAAGCCACTGTCTGGGTGCGAGCCCGGCCCGCTGGACGCCGCTCAGGCCCAGGCCGACGCCAGGGCGCCCGCGGGCCCAGCTCCAAGCCCGCCACGGCCCGGCCCAGACGGTGGGGTGGTGGCAGCGGCCGGAGGGTTAAAAAGGCGACCGCCACCCCCATGCTCGGTCCGGGGAGAAAGTGTCTTTTCTCCAAGTCCATATGGCCACTTCCTTTCGACCTGCTCGGCCCTGCACGCCTCTTTGTCCAAGCTGTCATTTGTAAAGAATCACTTGACTTACAATAACAGGTTCAAAAGACGACAGAGTATAATCAGTTGATCCACGAAGAAGAATTGGAATAAAGCACACCCCACTGCTCCGGCGATCATTCCCATAGAGATAGTGACACCATTGATGTGATTGCGATGCTAATTTCTATACAAGGAAAAAAAAAAAAGAACCTTGTATTTTGGAATTTGTTCAAAGAGAATTTCAGACACATCAGATTGGAAAATGCGGACTGAATTCCTAAACTTTTTTGGGTAGGCAGAGGATTTTTCTTTTTCTTTTTTCTTTTTTTTTAAAAAAAAAACAACCACCAATGCAGATATTATTTGAGCGGACTTTAAGAATCTTAACATAATGAGCTGGTTTGGGGGAAAATAGATTCTTTTCTCCCCTGTCCTCCACCTCCCAAGACCTGGTGAGATTAAGAGAGAGAGAGAGACAGAGACAGAGACAGAGAGAGAGAGAGTGCTGGGTCTCGGGGCAGGGGCTGTGACCAGGCCAGGTGCCCACCAGCAGAGAAGTGCAAGGCCAGGCCCGGGCAGCTGCATCCTGTGTCCTCCTCCGGTTGGTACCGGCTCCCCCAGCCCTCAGCCACTGGGTCACTCCCCAGGAGAACAGAGAACAAAGTTTTCTGGGCGGGGGCCCCTCTCCCACTGGTGGCTTGCAACTGGGTGGCTCTTTCCGCCCGAGCCGGTGGGCGATAGAGGCTGAGGCTATCCTTCTGTACCTTTGCTTCTGGTGTCTTAGTGCTTCCCCGGGCTTAAAACCCACCCCCGGTCATCTAGGGGGAGCTGAGTCGGGCCGGGCTGGAGCATGTCTCACCTGGGGCAGCGTTTAGGTGTCCCTGTGGCTTGGCGCTTTGAATAATCAACCTGTCTCCATCAGCTTCTTAATCCTGTGCTACCCAGGCTTCTCTCTCTCTCTCTCTCTCTTTCTCTTTCTTTCTCTCCCCGTCTCCCCCTTTATTTATCAACTCTTTCGGATCCTGTCTTTCTGCTATTAACACTCCCCACTGAGTGTCACATGCCAGGCCTTTTTTTCCCCTTCACAACAAGCCCCTCCCGGGGGGATTCTCTGGATACTTCTTTTACTGTTATTATTATTACTGAGTCTTTTCTCCCCATAATGACACCAGGATCATTATATAATCCCATAACAAAGAGGCTTTTGAGGCACCAGCTTTTGTCAACTCCAGGACAGAGAATCCATAATTGCATTATTCAGCCTGCACCCCCCTTCTCTCCCCCACCCCCAGTCTGGCTTCAGGAGAAACCCAAAACCTCACGCCTGACTCAGGCTCAAGCCCCCACTTTGATACCTTGGCCGGCTGGCCTTATTTACTTAAAAAAAAAAAACAAACCCAAAAAACCAAAAAATAAAACAACAACAACAAAAAAAACCCCACGTCTGCCTCTTGCGACCACAGTGCCTTTTGCAAAGTTGCCTTAAAAAAAGTTATTTTGTCGGGTAATTAAGTCCTGGAGCCCACCGCCTGGCGACTGGTGGTGCCTGGTATCCATCGGTAAGGCAGAGAACCTGCAAGTGACGTGGTTTTTTTTTTTTCTCTTTTTTTTTTTCTCTCTCTCTCCCCGAGTTTAATTACCGTATGCTAATTTCCTCTGCCTACTACGTGATTAATTAAAATCATATTTTCATAATCATTTGGCACTAGTATTGTTTTAGAATCATCATGATCCCCTAAATAGTGTCTGTAAATAAAGTCGCCCCTAATGGCAGGCGCTGGAGGCGAGTCTGAGGACCTCTGGGCGCGCTCGCGCCGCCGCGGCGACTGGCAACATAACTGCCTTTATTTACATTAAATACGCCACAAGGTTACAGCGCGGATCAACGTCATTTGATCGCTGATGACTCCCTTAAACGCCCGGGCTGGGGCTGGCTCTCCGCGCCCCGGCTGGCTCTCCATCGGAGATGCACCCGGGAGTTTTATTATTATTATTATTATTATTTTTTCTTCTTCTTCTTCTGCTCCTTTCTCCTCCTCTCTCCTCTCTCTCTCCAAAAAAGAAACAAGACTTTAAATAGTTTCGGGAGCAGGTAAGAATGACGCCTCTGCCTCTCGCGGGCGCCGCGTCCCCCTCTCTCTCTCCCTCTCTCTCCCTCCGCGGCGGTCTCGGTCTCCCTCTCCGGATTAAAAAAAAAAAAAAAATTCTGTAGTCAAAGGCAGGAATGCAAAGTAGCGAGGAGCGGAGGGGCTGATGGATGTCTCGGTAACGAGTGTGACAATCAGAATGTAGCTCTTGGAGGACAGATAGGTTTTAATAAGTGTGTTTACACGGGCTCAAGGTCAGCAGCAAGCTGCGCCGTGTTAAATGGTTTCTTAGTTGCCAGACAGAGGAAAAATGGACGATCACACACCATTCTTTGTAGATTATTTTATCAAGGGTTCGGTCTCCGGCTCATCAAAGCTAAATGCCGCAAGACCTATCCAGTTGCTGTGAATCGTGCCGGAGCGACAATGGAGAGCGTCTTTAATGGTACAATGCATTCCGCCCGCCGGAGAGGGGGAGGCCGGCCGGGCCCGGGGCGTCCGCGGGGCGGGCGCTGAGCGCGGGCGGCCGGGGCGACTCCGGACAGAGGCCGAGGACAGCCCGGCCCGCCCCGGACCCGGCCCCTGGCCGGAGCGGCTCGCGGGGCGCCGCCGGGTGGGCCAGCCGGGCGCGCGGGCAGGGCGCACGTCCCCCCTCGGCCCCGGAAAATGATCAAGTCAATCATGTGGACATGTTTCATTATTCATTGAACACAATCTTTTACAACGCTCCGCTGACGTGCCCGAGTTTGCGCCCGGCGCCCGCGTCTCGGGGGTTTAAGGTAAGGACAACAAAGGTGGGGGGCGCGCCGGGAAAGGGGGGTGCCCGCGGCGCGCCTGGGGTGGGGGGCGCGGGCGCGGGGAAGGGGGCGGTTGGTGGTGGCGGCGCGCGGGGCCAGTGGCCAGGGGGTGGGGAGGCGTCCCCGGGCGTCCCGAGGTGGCAAAGTGAGTTTGGACTCTCGGCGTGGCCCCCGGCCCCTCCCCCGCCCCCGCGCGCCGAGGCCTGCCGCCCGGCTCCTTCTCGCCCCTCCGCGATTAAAAAATACGGTCTAATTAAATATCCGTGGCGGTGACGTGGGCGAGAGGAGCTGTCAGCCGGGAGAGAGCCGAGAAGCCGGGAGCGCGGCCGCGGCCCGCGCCGAATGGCGCTGGGGAACTTTGGCGGCGCCGAGCCGGGGACCAGCGCCCCGGCCGCCGCGTCCCGCCCGCGGTCCCGGGACCGTTACTTGGAGCGGCGTCCCGGGCCCGGCGCTCGGAGCCCAGCGGAACCCGCGCCGCGCTCCGGGTCCCGCCCGGCCCCCCACCCCCGCGCGGCCCGCGAGCGGCTCTCCGGCCCGGGAAACTTTCAAAAGGGTCTGGGGGCCGGGGGGAGGGGGGAGCCAAGGGGGAGGGGAGGCTGGGGCCGCGGAAACTTCTGCTCAAGTGACTTTTCCCATTTCCCCTTCGGCCTGGGACTGGGGCTCCCCCTGCGCTCTCCGCCTTCCCCGCTCGCTGCGGGACCCCGGCCCCCTCCGCCCCGGGGGAGACAGGGTAATTCGTAACCCCACACCCTTTTTTTTTTTTTTTCCTTAAATCAAAGTTAGCTGGTGCGTACAGCGTGACACTTTCGGGCCCGAGCGCCGCCGAGCCCTGCCATTTTGTGCGGCCATCCATCGTCTCCTCTGCCCCGGGGCCGGCGAGGCGCAGGCCGGGGGCTCCGCAGGGCCCAGGTGCCAGCGGGGTGCGAACCCGCGACCCCAGGAAAGGCCGGGGCGCCTGCAAGCGCGGGCGGTGCCCGAAGCACCTGCCCCAGCCGCCCGGCGCAGGGGGCCAGGCCGGGGCCAAAGATAACAATAAATAACAAGTAACAGGTTATGGGGAACCGAGCCGGCCAGTCCGGGCTGGAGGAGAAGGGGGGGCGCAGGCGCGGGGACCCCCGCAAGGCGGGGCACGGGGAGGGCTTGAGGGCGCCCGGGAAGGTGCGGTCGGGGGGACGCACCCCCAGCCCAGATGTACGCCCTGGGCGAGAGGATCTTCGCTGATAAGCCTTTCTGTTTGCTTGGAGACCTTATTTTTCGAAGATGAATTGAGGAAAATAGTCGTAGGCGGGACTCAGGGTGTATTTTAGGCAAAAAAAAAAAAAGAAAGGTGGGGGGGGTGAGCGTGGGGGGGGTGAGCTTTTCTTTGATGAGTAGGAAAGCGTCCAGAGCTCACGCGCCCATCTGTTGCAGTTTTGCAAATAATTTAAAATATAGATATCTGCGTATAGGTGGAGGTGCGTGAAGTGAGGGAAGGTGAGACGCGGGCGCCGGGAAGTTGGGGAAAAAGGGACGCGGGGGGGGGCAGGGAGGGCCCGTCCCCCCACCCTCAGCTCTGCCGCGGAAACTCCTGCGGGGCTTCCTTTGGGGACAGGTGGAAAGTTAAGTGCCCTCCCTTCCCGGGCTGTACCGAGTGGTCCCGCCGTCCGCCTCGGCGCGCGGCCGCGTCCCCGCAGGTGCCGGGTTCGGTGCCGGACGGGCGCTGGGTGGGGGCCGGGGAGGAGCAGGGCGCGGTCCCCGCCGCGCGGGTGGCACGGTGGCCGGGTTTTGTTTGCGGGTACGGCCGTGCCTCCAGGCGCCTCGCCTCGGAGGTGGATGTGCCCGCCGCGCTCGGGCGTCTTCGCCGTAGCAGGAGCCCTGCCCGCGGGCGCTCGGAGGGAGCGCGGGGCCCGGCGCGGTGGGCGGGAGCGGCGGCCGCGGGGCTCTGGGCTCCGGGCGGGCGCCGGGCGCGCGGCGCCGGCCTCGGGTCCCCACCGCGCCTTCTCCGGGCCGCGCCGCCGCCGCCGCCGCCGCCGTGCAGTTTGGCGGAAATCCGACAGGGGCCGCGTTTGCAGAGCGCATCCGGCCCCGGCAGCAGCCGGAGCGGGCTCCGGGGCCGGCGGGCCGGTGTAGACGCGGGGAGGGGGTCCGGGGAGAGCCGGCGGGGAGCGCGCGGGAAGCGAGCGTGGCCCGGACGCGCGCCGCCCCCGCCGGTGTCCCCGGCGACCCGGGCGGCTCCGCGCGCCCCGACCTCGGCGCACCCCCCCGCACCATCACCCCACCCCGGGCTCCAGCCCAGGGCTTAGGTGACTCGGGGTGGGGTGCGCGCGCGTGCGTGTGCGTGCGTGTGTGCGGAGGGAGGCTAGACCGGGGACGCCTGCCTTGCGTCCCCAGTTCGGTTTAGCAACTGGGTTTTTACTTTAAGGCCGGCTTTGCTCGCCGCTGGGGTTGGGAGGGGGTGAGCTCTCCATCACTCACATCTTTGTTCATTGTTCGCGGAGGGGAAGGCAGGCGACTTGCGGAGACCGAAGAGAGGGAAGGGGGGAGAAGGAGAGAGGGAAAGGGGGAGCAAGGGAGGGAAGGAGGAGAGGCGCGCGGGGGGCCCCCGCCCCGCCCGGGTCGAGGCGGAGGGTGAAACAGTAAACCCGCGCGCGGAGGGTCGCCGGGAAGGCGGACGTTGCCGCTTTAATGAACTTCGGGATGCTCCGGCGGCGGGACCTGGCGCAGCCGTGACGCGCCCCCATAAATTTGCCCGGCCGGGGCCGCTCGGGGAACTCGTACCGTAGCGGCGTCAGACCCGGCGCGCGCCTCCCCGGTCCGGATCCATTTGCATAATTGGATTTTTTTTTTTTTTTTGGCCTTCTTCTTTCTCCCTGCAACTTGTTTGAAAACCCAAGTGAAAACCGCGACGACCTGCACACTCAAAAAGCAAGTGCCAAGTAAGTGCCTGGCGCGGCCTTCCGCGCGCCCCGGGGTCAGCGCGCACCGCCGGCGGGCGAGGAGGAGGTGCGGGCGCCGCGCCGGCCGCCGCGGCCTCGGGGAGGGCTTGCTCCCGCGCCGCCGGCTGCTGCCCGCGCAACTTTTCCCCTGCGCCTCCCGACTTTCCGGGCCAGGTGAGGCGTGTGGGGCACGCGTGTGCCGGTAGGAGACTCGGGAGGCGGTCTTGCGGGGCGCGGCGGAGTCGGGCATCCGGCCCCGCGAGCGAGCGGCAGCCGGGCCGCGCCGAGCGGTGCCGGGCAGAGCGGCGAGGAGCGGGCCGGCCGCTGGTCGTGCCGCCGCCGCCGAGGCGGATGCAGCCTGTGGCCCGATGCCTGCCCCATTATCCTGGGGTGTGTGTGTGTGTGTGTGTGTGTGTGTGTCTGTGTGTGTCCGTGTGCGCGCGCGGCTGTGCTTTTTAAAAAAGAAAGAACAGCCACCAGGAGCAGGAAGGGCTTTTCCATTTAGCTCGCCCCCTTCCCCTCGGCATCCTCTTATTTCTGCCGCTCGGAGCCCGGAGAGCAGAGAGCTACTTTGCTCGGAGGAGGAGAAGACAGGGCCACCAAAAAGATCGGGAATTCTGCCGGGAACGTCGTGCGTTCTGCAGCGAAGAAGATGTAGCTGCGTTTATAAAACACCAGCGGTTGGCTGGTGAGGAAAGTGGTTTTACTGGTGTCTCACATTTTGTTCAAATACACAAGCTATTATTATTGTTGTTGTTGTTGTTATTTACAGTGTGCAGAACCTAGGGCGGAGAGTCGGTGGGGTTAGGGGGAAGACTGTAACCCTAGTTAGTTCCTGTTTGCTGGGCCCAGCTTGGGAACTTGCTGGGGGAGGCTGGCCCCCCCCCTGCCTCAAGGGGCTGGGTGGGGGGGAAGAAGCCTTCAGCCCTGGGGAGTCGCAGGGGGGCGCCCCCAAGCCCTCTGGCCTCTGCTCCCGGAGAGAGGCCGGGGCTTCTGGCTTGGA